ACTGATTTCCCCATTCTACGGGCCAGCACTCTCGACGAGCACTTGTGGTGTCCGTCCAGTCACTCCTTTATCACGAAACCGTTCCCTCCTATTCACCGACAACTACCTCAAGCGCCCTGCTCCTGTAACCACAGGCATTGGGCAACTGAACGACTCTACGACGCCAACCCCCATCTCCCCTTACCCTCGATATCGAAAGCGAAGATCGCGGCGTCTATAGAGACAAAAGAGTCGCCCAAATGTGGAGGAAGAAGATCAGCAATAACCAGCGAGGGGCTCCTCAATCATCTACTCTGCTTCAGGGGACACCATATGGCGCAACGGTGTTCGCAGGCGGTGGTGGGTCGGATTCCTATCAACCGCGAGCCCCCCCAGAGAGAAGCAACCCTCCGCCGAGACCTCCACCAGCAGACGTCAAGCGCAAAGGCCTACCGAGTCAATCAGCGTGAGTCTTACAACCCTTATATGGGCGCTGGAAAGAGCTATGCGACTGTTGTTCCTAGAGTGATGGTGGACTGCCATGAGTAAGACATGAATAGCAGCTAATGTGCGATCCAGAACCTCCGCCTCGCAACCTCCTCCCGCGCTGGAATCGAAATTCAGACCAGTTTCCTCTATTTATTCTCAACCCTCCTCACCTAATGCCAACCCCGCCCAATTTTCGCAAGGCACACATCAATATGCATACCCAGATGTAGAGGTATCCCCTCCGTCCTCACCAGAGTTTGGCAGAAGGTAGGTCGAAACGACTCTGGATGCTATTCCAGCGGTGGACGAGAATTGCTGACCAGGAAATTCAGTCAAATCCAACCTGGTGACGATGATGTCTCCCCTATCGATGCGACCCCCGATGCGTCGAGTATTCGCTTTGCTAAAGCAAGTAATACACAGGACTCTCATACGAGAACTACCTCTGGAGGAGCTACGAGTCGAAAACCAGCGCCAAGTAGTATTCCACAGCTTCGCAAGGAAAAGAGACGTAACCAGGTGGCAGCGGCGGCGGCAAACCTAGTCCAGCGCAAGCAAGTGGGAGATACCCCACAAGGACGACAGACAAGTGATGTCCGCTGGGATCCTTATTCTGGGGAGATCACCACAAGCAATAGAGGCAAGCCACAATCAGTGAAACCAGGAGAATTCACCCCGCCAGGAGCTCGCTCCAGTCAAGGATCCTCTGTCCTAGGCAATCAGACGAGCATCTCCGGTCCTATGAAGCCCGGCATGTCCTTTGGAGAGCGTGTCCGCAAATTGAAACCCCTTAATACGCCGGTAGAAAGGCCAGAGTGGAAGGGGGCGACTGGCCGTGCGGCAATAGTCTCACCAGTTACGGATCAACCTGAGATGGAACCTCTCAGCATTCCTCGGAAGAGTAGCAAGCGCGTTGCGTCGCCCATTGTTTCCGCAACGAACACGCCAATATCGGCCATCAGAACAACTAGTATCGATGAAACTGGCCCTGTATCATCTCAACCTGTCGACCCCACTATCAGGGCCGTGCCCACCCGCAGCGGCGATAATAGCCCCAAAGGTGGTGCCTTGCTCTCTCCTAGCCCAGAACCTGCTCCAACCGCAGCTGCAGATAGCAGCGCCATTAAGCTGACTCTTGACACATCTTCGCCAGCTGCACCTGCGCACCAAAAGAAAGATTCCGTTGACACGATCGAACGAAACTTCCGCGAGGCCTTGCAGCGAACCTTTAATCCAGACCCAGCAGAGCCTTATGTTCAGCCTCCGTCTCGATTCAGTGTGACGACATATGCTACTTCTGCGGGTGACACCGGCTCCCCCCGTCCATCAACCGACAGTAATCGGCCGCCTATGCCAACTCCGCCCCACAACTACTCCAACTCCCAAGAGCCTCCCACTCCGACGCCCGCGACGCCAATTCTCAACCGCAAGCGCCCAAAGATTGGCGACCCCAAGTCCTTGTCACGAAAGTCCGCCCCGTCCTCTCCTGTGCTAATCAGTATGACGAGCAGCATCGCCACCAAGCGCCCGACGAATAAGTCGCTCCCGAAGCCCCCCCCCGAAGCCGGGTCGCAGGATCTCATCTCCTCGCTCCAGGCACAGCTCGACGACCTCTCAAATCGCCGAAATAATATCATGAAGCGGATCAAGCTCATGACAGAGCTGATGCCGACGGACCACGTAGTGGAGACAGCCGAGGTTCGTCGTAAGCGTGAGGAGGAGAAGCACCTGATCGAGGACCTCAAGGAGGAGGAAGCGGATATCAGGAGACAGGAACACGATCTTGGTCTCAAGCTACATCGGGCATGGAAGAGGAAGGATAATGACGCTGCATACGAGTCAACAGGGCTGTGGGTTAAGAGGGTTACGGGATGAGGTGATGATTACTGCACTGCGATAATTACCAATACCTAATTGTCAGTTCGTTGTCTAGCGCATACACGGAGTTGCGAGGCTTTCTCATTATGAAGCGCAAACAGCGGAAAGGTTTGCAAGATGCTAGGGGAGAATTTGCGTTCGGAGTTTCGTTTCAAGAAGGCATTTTGGTAAATCCTATTCATGGCAGCAGAGACAGAGAAGAGATACCTTTGGTGGACGCGGGCAAGGTGGGATGGATGTACGAGTGAAAGATTAGATGATGCCACGATTGTTAGCTATTAGCGGTAATTTCCTTTCAATACCATTCCGTCAATTACCCAATTACCAGAAATATCCCTCATACGACATCAATGCTCAAAGTCCCTTTAATGGAAGTTCCTAATATGAAACCAGCACAAAGAATCGACTACTGAAAGTATATTTATTTATGCTTTTCACCACACCCTGCGCGTTAAATAGCCAATTTATTCATGCAACCCTAGGCTATCCAGGACCTTCTCCCTCCACCACACGGGGAAATCCACAATCTTCTTCCCCAGTCTGGCCTCCTCCGCCGCGAACACCATGGCATGGCCGCGAATAACCTCTTCGAGCGTGCACCCGACATACTCATTCTGCGCCTCCTCGACCTTCGCGCCGTAGTTCTTGACCTGGTCGACTGCGAGGATGAACTGCCTGGTCAGCCCGCCATCGCCGCCACCATGGCCCGTGGCCTCAACGTGTGGGCGGTGCAGCTTGCGGCGGCCCGTCCGGAAGTCCTCGACCGTGACTGTCTCGCTGTCGGCGTAGATCTCGCCGTGCGTGCCATAGACGTGCGTATACCTGTCGCAGATCTTCTTCGTGTGCGCCACCATGTGGAAGATGGCCATCTTGGCCCCACGCCCGGACAGGGCCGTTTCTGGGTCGCCCTTGCCGGGAAGGGGGTCATTCTCCCAGGTCATGGTCACCATCTGGTTGTCGTTGACGTCGTTGTTGGCCTCCCACACACAGCGGCCGTACCAGTTCCTGGCATCGACTTCCGAGACTGGTGTGTCCTTGGTGTAGTTCTCCGACAGTTTGGAGATGAGGGCGGCCTCACCGGCAGCCTGACCGCCTTTGGAGATGCATTCCTCAATTTCTGGGAGGACGATATCTACGGGCCAGTTGGTGTTTCCGGACCCGAGGCCATCCAGCTGGCCCCCGACGTAGATTCTCTTTGCAGAAAACTTGCATGACTCCTCGATCGGGCAAGAGAGACAGTTGGTGGCGTCTCCTGCGGCAGTTGGTTTGCGAGTCTTGTTAAAATACAACAAAGATCCAGACGAGGTTACTGTTGCAGGGATATGGGGCGGATCCTTTGAGCCAGGTGCGGGCGAGCAGAGCAGCCAGAGAAGGAGGTCAATATCATGACAAGATTTGGTGAGTAGAGAAGGAGCAGAGGTGGACTCCTTGCGCCAGTTTCCCCTAAAATGTGTTAGGTAGCTGATCATCATGATACTCCTATTGGAATATACCTAACGAAGCTGTGTGCAAAGTGCCACCAGCCAACGGGTTCCGTATGCTCAACAGACAGGATATCTCCAATTGCATTGTCTTCCAGCAATAGCTTCCTCAAGACAATGTTGTGCTGGCTATACCTCAGCACGTGGCCGATGGAGAAGATTCTGCTGGGAGTAGTTGTATGGGGAAGATTCGGGAGTAAAGACTTGTATATGGCAACGCAATCATTTATATTCGTAGTCAATGGCTTCTCGCACATAATATGCAAGCCCAGAGGTGCAAGCCCAATAATGACCTCCTTGTGCATCTCATCCAGCACGCAGATGAACACCGCATCGATGCCCTCCTGGACACTCTCGCCCCTGGCCGCTCTGGCCCGTCTCTCGGTCTCATATGTTAGATACTGCTTCCAGCCCTCGAACTCCTGTCCCTCGGACGGGCTTCCCTTGCCCCAGATGTACTTCTCTCCCAGGCGCCGTCTCTTGTAGGAGATGGGCTCGGCCACTGCCACAACGACGCCGTTAGCTGCGTGTCCGGTCTCGCGGGCATAGGCATTGCCTCTCGAGCCAGCCCCCACTATCAGAACGCGCGGAGGGTTGGCAGACATAGCGGGGCGCGGGGGAGCGGGCATGCGGTCGACCTGGTCTTCCTGGTAGGCCGAAAGGGGTTCTGCGTGCGGAGCCATGATGCTGATGTAGATGACACCGAGAGATGTTGAACAGATCTTGATGTTGTGAGGTTTCTTGGATGGGACAAATAAGGCGCTCGTGAACCAAAATAATGGTTCAGCCTTGCGGCTGCAAACGAGAGGCTACCATGGGGTAGTGTAACGTTGCGAGGATCTGGCTGGAAAGTCTTCCCAGGATAGGGATGCCGAAGCCTACAGCGGAGGAGAGATGACCATTGCAGATTCCGCTATAGGCTCTTGTCATTCGCACTATCAGGTTCCTATCTTAGGTACAGTAGATCCTGATTGAATCGTCTAATTAAGCTTCCTGGTACGTGGGAACCCCGTACGGTCGGCAACTGTCGGCGAGCCTTTTTAGAGAAGGGGGTTCCTGATATATTCGCACCAGACAAAAATAAGAGATGAGAGTTAACAATTCAACCTGACCTGGCTACGTACTACAGTACCTACAAATGAAGACAACTATAGGGGGCAAAAAAAAGAATATCGACCCAGACGGGACTCGAACCCGCAATCTTTGCCATACGAAGAGCCGGAAAGCAACGCCTTACCATTAGGCCACTGTCGCTGATGTTAGAATGAAAATGACAAGGCGTAACTTGGGGGCGAACTTACCCAGGCCATCGGATATTCCTAATCTTGAAAATCGCTTATCTGACTACATACAGCAACTATTTAACCCGGAACCCAACCGCCAGCCATAGCTCCAGTCCGTTTGGCTGGACAGGTATCACATAAAAAAGCAACTTACGCATTTGAGGATGTACTGTACAGAGGAGGTTACTAGGGTAATTATTAATCGTCCAATTTTCAGGCTCCGGTTCGTGACGCTCCGATATGAGGACTCCGTGCAATGCTCGCCCATGTGTGTGCCTTCCCCGCTAAATCTCTCTATCCTACCCATTCAGCTGCAATAAACATTTCGCCTAGGTTTCTATGTGCCGCGCCTATTTTCTCTCCCAAATCTGACATCCCTATACACTACTACTCTACACACGGTAGGTCCCATCTACCCATTATGACGCTTGCCTTCGCCCTTCCCCCTCGCCTTCGACTTCTCCTTCAGTCTCTTCATCATTCGTCGTCACAACTCGGGCGACCGAGGGGAGCGTCAGCTTCCTCATCGCCCTCCTCATCCCCTCTAGAGCTGCACGCTCCTTGGTAAGCACGGCTTTGGCTAGATCACGGATAGCTCTGCGCCCCATCTTTCCGTGAAGGTCTTGCCACCCCGCCAGCTCTGCTGCAACGACTTGCTGCGTGTAACGAAGCTCGCGTCCTAGCCCTTCTTCCTCTTCCTTTGCCCGCCTGGCTTTTTCTTCTTTCTCTTCGTTAATTCGCTGCCGAGTCTCATCGAGCAATCCTAGAGGCCAGCGAGTAGAGCGACTGAGCGAATTATACGATCGCTCAATCGCTTTCCGGGACGTGTTGATCGTGGATATGAGCGACGTGGGCCGCGAAAGTGCCAAGAGCATTGCAACTATGGTCCCATGCGTCGACAGCACGGTCGAGTGGTATGCTGCGTACGGTGAGGAGGAAGATGGCGCTAGAGTCTGGACGTAGGCATCGAATGCTGAGATATGCGTTTCCGGGAGAAATGGTAAAGTGGCCACTGCACGCGAGGAGAGACTTGCGGCATCATAGAGATCTACCATCGTTAGCAGTATCGGATTGGGAAGAGTAGCCATGCATACCCGTTACTGCCCCATGGAGCATATTCGACCTCCTCGCAACGCTTTTAGTAGAGTAGTTGAGACCCCTGATTGTTTCTCTCGCATGATCCACGAACTGTTCCACGTCGTGAACGTTCTCAACGGGCTCATACTCCTCTCGTACAGTCTCCATCCTCGCCTCGGCTTTCAGCTGGCTTCGCTGTTCCATCATTTCCGCTTGGATATCGGGCACAAGGAAGAACTCCCACAACATTTCATGGGTGGAAAATGTCGAATGGGCCAGTAATATTTTCAAAAACCAATCCAGGCGGACTTGGATGTCCCGAAGCACCGCCCTTGAAGGTTTTGAAAATATTTGGAAGGGTGATCGCATCCCCGATATGGACGGCAACCATGAAGCTGGATTTTCGAGTGCGAGTAGCTTAGCCAAATGCTCGAAATCTCCAAGCGACCGTCGGCACGTTGTGACCGTGAAGCTATGAGCTGCTGATGGCGCGCCTGATTTCACGACCAGACGGATAGTTGCATCTTCAACGAAAAAGGAACGAACGACAGCTGTCATTCGTCCATCTGGGGCAGGATGCGCGGAGAAGAGTATCAGATCGTCGATTCGATTCCGAACATCGTCATCTTTCGCAAGTTCTACAGCTGTGAGACCACGGAGTTCCTTGGCAAAGAGGTCTACCCTTGGATCTCCGAACAAAGCCCTAACCATCTCAAGCCTACCATATTTGCTAGCTACCATTAGGGGAGTAAATTTCTTGTCGTTTGTCGCATTAACATCCGAATCACAGCGGAGGAGGTTAACTGTAATCTGCGCGTCGTTGATAATATGAAGCAGTGTATTACCTTTCGAATCGATGTGGTCATCTAGATGCAAAGACTGGCCATCGCCTTGAAAGATAGTGGCTGCGACAAGCCCAGCCTCCACCATTGTTCGATAATTACCATTATCATAAGATCTGCATAATGCAAAGAGAGGCGTCTGACCATTCTTGTCCTTTTGTCGCCAGGGCAATAGGTGTCCGACGCGTTGAATCAACTGTGGCGCGTTAAACAGATAATGGGCAACGCTCCTGCCTCTACTGTCTTGCTTAGCAAGGTAATCAATCACAATTGACTCGGACTGTGCTTGATATATGAAGTCCAAGATAATGTTGATGAGTTCTGTGTGTCCTAGTTGAACAGCTGCGCTCAAGAGGGTTGTGCCTTCGTTATTTGTGTCCTCGAGAATGACATGCAAGGGGTAGTAGCTGTATAGTGATAACAAGTATTTCAATGCTTCCGGTTGCCGATTCTGAATTGCCATCATCGGGATAGATTCTCCAGCTGAATCTTCAGTCTGCGAAAGTCGTTCTATTGAAGTGTCACCCTCAATGCCACTACCTATCGAATCGATTGTCGTCGCTCTGGACCCGAATGACCTCTCTGACCCGCTTGACATGCTCCGCACGTCCATCTTCACCGACTTCGGTCTCCGTAGAGGCGGAAATCGCCCATCGTCATCATCTGCATGGCGGATCTGGAACGGGAATACATGATTGAGGGTCGAACCTCTGCTAAAACTCGTCCGCAAAGACGATCGACGTGAACGGCCATTTGATGCTGTCCAAGGCAAGATGACAGCAGCTTCCTCGGTAATAACTTCATTGTTTTCGTCTTCTTCATCAGAGTCCTTTTCCGGCTCCATTATCATCATCATCTCCTTAACATCGCCTTTACTTGTTGCTTGCCAGAGCCTATTGTTTCGTCGACTAGCTTTTCGTAGACCGCCTGAATCCCTTGCAAGGTATGACAAAACAGCTTCGAAAGTGCTAAGCGCATATCCCATCTCTCCGCTTTCAACATCATCTATAAAGATGAAGTGACGCATGTAAAGTAAACGGGAATGGAGATGACGGACTTGTGCTCTGATAAGGACTATTAAGAGGAGTGACACCAGCGCATCGGCATTAATTGTGAGAACATAGCTCACTTTCTCAGATGAGGGAGTTCCGTTGGTAACTCGCTGGGAGATTTCGGTAAGTTGTGTGACTGTCTTTAGTGTCGAGAGTAAAATGTCCATCATCTCCTGAGGACTGCCTGCTACTCCAAGTTTTCGGAATTCTTCGATGGCACGGCCCAGACGGAGATTCAACTCATGCTTCTCATTTCTTCCGCCATTGATATTTATTCCAACCTGCGCGATATCAACGAATTCCATTTGCCTTATTTTAGACTCCAGTTCAAGATCTTCAAGGCGTCGCAGGGCACGTACCCTAGGATAGAGTACGGTATCATGCACTTGCTCGGTCACGTATCGCTCAATTAAACGCTCCACAACCGGCCCAGTAAGATCTGTGGTTGCACCCAGGAGTGACAACTGCTGCTTATCCACCATTTGGAAGAGATCAATCGCCGCGGTGACTGCGGTCTCCAACGCACCTCGCATCACATCTTCGTCATCCTCAGCATAGGCTTCATCAAGCGTGGTCCGATCCGCGCTGCCATTGGATCGGAAGCTTGATGCTGAATTCGCACTGTTGGATCTAGCTTGTTTAATAGCTTGGGCAATTGGGCCTTCGGGCTCCGGGTCAGGTATAACCGTCGCAGATGGAGGTGGCGGTAAAGGTTTCTCAAAAACGGTGTTGAACTCTTTAAATAATCGCTCGAGCCCCGGCTGCATCTGCCTCGCAATCATAGGGAAGTTATTGAGAAGGTCATTGAAGGTTTTAATGTCTTTCTTGCGGGGTAGCGGACTAGTAGACCCTTGGGATGGTTCTTGCAATGGTTGAAGTGAGAGAAGAGGTTGATTATCAGGGAGTCCAGATAGAAGGGTAGCAGGCTCTATCTTGATTTCATCGTAGGTCCCTACTAAGGGCTTGGAGATGTAGTACACAAGCCATTGCTTTGGCTCGAGGGAGTCGGGATACCATAGTGTGTCAGTTAATATCTGCGCCTGATTGAGTGTCTTGAACCCTGCGCTATCATTAGTAGTGTCATATATCTTGGAACTAGTTCGCCCACCCTTATTGCTGTACACAAGTGCATCCTTAACGACTACCGTCCTGCCATTGACAGTCGTGTATTGCTTTGCCTTCCCCCGGTTCTCACGGATATTTGGCGCGTCCTTCCCTCCCGCCGCACCTTGGTTTGGTGGTACTCGCAAGACATGACTTCCCAGGAATTCTTCAGACCCAGCAAGGTCTGAGTAGAGAGCGCCGGACTCACGATCGCGGGAGGTAAGGAGAACTTCGGTAGTGGGAACTAGTAGAATCTAAGATAATGATCAGTATCGATTCTATGAAGGACATGTAGATGGCTGGACCGTACATGATGATGAACTGGAGAGCACTGGGCCGGTAGAGCGCTCTTGAAGAAGGCAGACAGGAAAGGGTTTAGAGGTTGCATTCATTCAACATTCGCGGGCGCTGCATGGACAACCCTCCGCAGGCGTCAGTCCTGCAACACGGATGCCAAATTCACAAGGAGGTACGATGATGCGTCGCCCATACGATGCAATAAACGGCTGCTCGTAAAGAACGCTAGAAGGTCGGCGAATTGGTCGCGACCACCTTTTCTCCCGCAGTTATTGATATGTTGAGTTTGTGACAACCTTAGGATGCTGGTGTGGACCCTGCAAACCACGTACAGACAAAGCACATCGTCGGCCCCAACTATCTGTAGCTCCTGGATGCTCTTTAGCTCGGCTGGCTGGAGATCAGGCAGGCAAAGTGGATGTGAGCCAATGAAAGACGGTATTCAGCCTCAGCATGGTGACTAAGCCTTATCGCTGTGCGTAGTCTGATCTGCGACTTGGACGATTCGGCTATCAAACACGTCTGATCTATATAACCAAAGCACTACTATTACTTGAACTAATAGGATATGAACTGTGCAAGCGGCATTACTAAGACCT